GGCGCGGGTATAGGGTGAACATTCCAGGGTCCTCAACCGGAGGGGGGTCCTGCAGGAATTTCAAAATCAATGTATTGTTAAGGGAGTGTAAGTCATCAATATACCTATAGGTATGCTTAAAGAGGGGGAGGAGACAGGTGGTCCTTCTTTCCGTCAATCACATAATCAAGCCATACTCATACTTAAAAAAGTATACAGTACACCAGACAGGAGAGCATGGGAGGCCCATAGGGATCCTTGCCGTCTGTCTCCAATTCTTCCCACCGAAAGAGGTGAAGCATCTTTCCACCAACCATCTTGTGACTTGAATAACATCGCTGATGTCGAGCCAGACTACCCTTGCGGAAGCGGGGCGTTTCCTCCCTTCCTCCACGGAGCAGGTGACACGGCCATTGCGGGAAAATTTGCACTTGACCACAGATCCCACCCGCCCTCCCGAAGTCTGCGAAAAAGCCATTCTAACGAAAAAGGAAACATCAGCAATGAGACTGTCCTCAGAATCATCAATCGGAATTGTCTCAAAACAACATGTGATGTCAGCAGAAAAGGCAGAAAACACCTTGTCCGGCAGGTTGTAGCAGTAATCCTGCACAGCATCTATCGCCCACCAAATAGATGTATCCACTCCGTGAAAACTCAGTAGGCCATCCGTAATGGTCTTGCAGTGGGACATAACGAATGGTGTCAGGCTTTTGAGCAAGGCATCACACAGACAGGCTACTGGGGTCAAGAAGCATGAAGAGGCATTCGTGAGCCATCTAAAGGCCAGCTTATGGTGTTTGTACAAGGCCATCAGATACGGGAGCTTCTTTGGACCCAGGGCCAAGGTGGGGCACAGTCCCATCAGCGAGGCTGCAGCCTCAGAGGAGATCTCATCTGCTGATGAGTTGATGCGTTCAAAATCTTTGCTGCTCAGTCTTTCCAATGCAAGTTTCCTAATTAGGTATATACAAACAAACGAGGGGGTATTGGCAGACTTGTCCGTCCCAGCGATGAGCAGCCGTTTGGTCAGAAAATCAATCTCATTTCTCACGGCATGGACATCAAGGTCAGAGGGTGGACCCATCTGCTTTCTCGCTCCTAAACAGCCCAGCTGAGACCGGACCCTTTCTGATACAAATGCGCGAGCTCTAGACTGCATGCCTCCTGTGATTAGCATTCTCCCATATAAAAATTTGACAATGGATTGCCACGCTTTCAAAAATTCCCTGAATGCCACATGGGGGTTCCGTGGTTGGAGAGGTATGTGATTTAGTCCCTGAGAGAAGAGGGTAGACAATCTCGAGAGGGAAGAGATAGAGGGGTCAAGAGAGAGCACATGTGTAGTCGGAGAGGAAAATGGTTGGCTCATCTCAAACGTGCAGGGGTGGTGGAAGGGTAAGAAGCGTTTGGTGTCACATAGGCAAGATTCGAAACCCTCACAGAACTGCAACCATTCATCAAGAACAAAATCACGGAACACTCTTGAGGGGCGGTATACCACTGTCTCCAAAGAGTCCAGATATGTCCAGCCAATGACAACCAAGGACAAAAGCTCCCTAGCACCTGGGGGGAAAAAAAGGTCAACGGCTTTCTCTATGATAGGTCTGAAATGCACAATCTCCATGATCCTGCTCGTATACAACATATGCACAAAAACATTATTCTCGCCACCCTCGGCACCATGCCACTTATTCCTCCCCGATGGGTCCCGGCAGCATCAATCATCAATCAAGTTCACCGCCACAGAGAGGAGCCGCGCGCTGGATAACTGCACGCAGCAAGGGAAAAAGCGCGCGCGCGCTCGACGATTGCGCGCGATTGGGCGCGCGCCCTGAGCTGAAAATTGGACCACCGGTGGTCTACGCTGAGGAGCTGAGGTGGTCCAAATTTCAGACCAAGTGGTCCAGCAGATCATGAGATATCAAAGTTTTAGGGCGCAACATGAAATTCAAGCGTGTCGGGCGATGAGGACGACGGGGGGATGGAATGGCATCTAAGGCTTCAACCTCAACACCTGCTGTTCCCTGACTTTTGAAAGCGGGTCTACTACCATCTCTCTACTTCGTGCTTCAAACGAGTGATGCTATAGGTTAGCATGCCGGATGAAGGAGGGTATTGCTTATTTGGGCATTACTCTAGGAGTAATCACTAGTGCTCTTCATCTTGCGACTTTTGGTGGAGGAGGTCGGCTCGGCGCGAGAAGAAGAAGAATACAGTGTGTCCCGTGGAGTGGGAGGAGGATTGTCAGGAGATAGTGAGTGGAGGGCTTCGAGGAGAAAATCCAAGTGTCGTCAAGTGCTCATTACAAGGGGGGAGACTTCTACTCGAATGATGGCAGCCGGCTGATCGTCATTCTTTCTGCTTCATCTACTTTGCATCTACAGGAGCATATCATCATCGTATCATCAGCTTCAGCAGCAGCAGTATTGTCATCATTATCATTATCACCATGATCACATCTTCTTTACGACGCGGTGCGTCATCATCTTCAGGGCGTTTTTTCATCTTCACATTGTCATCACCGTGCATCATTATTTTCAGGGTGCTGTTTCATCTCATCCTCACGGTATTGTTCGTCTTCTTCATCACGACGCGGAGCGTCATCATCTTCAGGGCGTTTTTTTAATCTTCACATTGTCATCACCGTGCGTTATCATCTTCAGGGCGCTGTTTCATCTCACCCTCATCTTCTTCACGACGCGGTGCGTTATCATTTTCAGGGTGTTTTTTCATCTTCACATTGTCATCACCATGCGTCATCATCTTCAGGGCGCTGTTTCATCTCATCCTCAGGGTATTGTTCGTCATCTTCTTCACGACGCGGTGCGTCATCATCTTCACGACGTTTTTTTCATCTTCACATTGTCATCACCGTGCGTCATCATCTTCAAGGCGCTGTTCCATCTTCACATTGTCATCACCAGCATCCTGTTTGGTCATCATCAGGATGTTGATCATCATCACCATGTCAGCCATCAATCACAAGCATTCTCACATGTATCAATCTAATTAAAATATCTTATACTACATTCCTAATTAATATCCCGAATATTCCTAATTTCTCAACTTTCAAACTCTATATCTGCGTTATTAATTAACTTGAAAGGGTATTATTTAATACCTAAATTTCTTACTATTTAATTTTTGATTCTCCCCATCTCTCTAAATTTCATTAAAAAAAAAAAAACTGGAATTTCTAATTTAATTAGCTTGAACGGTATTTTTTAATGCCTCAATTTCTTAATAATTAATTTCTCTTTGACGTTTTTTCAAAATACCTTTCATAGTATTCTTAATTTTATTTCTTATTCGCTAAAAAATCTGGTTTATTAAACTCCTCCTGTCGAGTCTTGCGCAATTCCTCCATTACAATTCTGATCTCCTCCCATGTTCAAGTGTTAATTTTCTTTGGGTAAGATGGTTCTATGAAGGGGGTGAGCTCTGCTCTGCAGGGGCTTCACAAGGTGGGTAGTGAATGCCCTGGAGGGGGTATGGGCAGATTGTGGGGGATACCCTAGTCTGGGGCTGGGGGAGATATTAGGAGAAGCATCAAACCTCAGCGGGGGCAGATTAGAGTAAAGGGAAGCAGAGGCATACTTTGGGTGGGAACTGGATGCTTCTGGGGGKAAAGGGGGGGGGGGGGGGGGACTGTTCCAAGCTGGGGTCGATGGGGAGGGTCTACAATTAGGATATTCCTTTTCGACGGAGGAAGCGACAAGACAGATTGGAAAGAAGGAGGTGGGGAGGGGGATGGGGATTTTCTAGGCTCTTTCTTTTAATCTGTGCTACTCATAGAGCTAATCTCCATTAAATCCTGTCTTGTACATCACTGTTCGGGCTACGTCAAGCATTTATGTCTTCTATACTTTCTGGGCGATATCTAGTTTTCTTTTGTATTGGATACGAAATTTCAGGGATGATTGAATCCTGACTGATGCCTTGCAGGTTGGTGGTGTTCTGTGCTCTTGGTTTGCCGATGCCAGAACGACGCTGGCCGGTGATGGGCTTATTGCCCTGTGACCTGTTTGTGACAGGAGCGTGAGGCCTGGTAGAGAGATCTGGGGATTCGTCGAGGGAGGAAGACAATCCAGTGGCGAACTGAGGTTGTCAGTTCTGACAACCGAAGGGGTCGGGTTCAGTCTTGGTAGTGAGAACACGACAGATTTGGGGGTATTGGTCAGGATGACTTCGTCCTTGAACTGCTGTGTCTGGTACAAGGGAGGCTAGGAATTGTGTAGGGGTTGTGAGGACAGGTTTTTGCTGATGTAGTCCATCAAGTCCAAGCGTAGTTTCCAATCATGTTATATCAAGCTTTCTGGTGTTCTGTAATTCTTGGCGGCATCTGGCCTTCTTCCTCATTCGGGATATAGGATTTCAGAGATGGTCGAATCTCGACTGATATCTGCAGAGTTGCCTTGTTCTGTGCCCCTGGTTTGCCGATGCCAGAACGACGCTGGCCGGAGCTGGGGCGTTGCCCTGTAACTTGCAAATAGCAAGAGTGTGAGGCCTTGTAGAGAGATCTGGGGATTTGCTGAGGGAGGAAGGCAATCCAGTGGTGATCCGGGGGGGGCTGCCTTGACAACCTATGGGTCCAGGGATAGTCTAGGTGGCGAGAACAGGTCAGCTATGGTTGACATTGGTTAGGATGGCATTGTCTTTGAGATGCAATGTCCTGGTACAGGAAGGGCTAGGAGTTGTTCTAGGATTAGGAGGCCAGATTTGTTGATATAGCATAGTCTTCTATATTTTTACATATTAATCATCGTTAGCATCAGCATCATTAGGATCATTATCTGACAGTTTACATTGAATCAGCAGAAGTTCATCATCATCATCATCATCATCATCATCATCATATGTGGGACGTTGAGCCCGGTTCTCAGCATGTTCGGTTCGGTCACTCCGGGTAGACTGTGAGGACCCCGGCCTCAATCTTCTTATTGGTAATATCAGCCTTGGGCACTGAGCCCTTTTAATTAAAAAAAAAAAAAGAAAAAAAAAAAAAGAGACATGAACCCCTCTCCACCCTGCGCACCACGAACGAGTCACACACAACCACTTATTCATTAGGCGCGAAATAATACCACTTTCGGGGACACCTTCCCCCTCGGTCTCTTCCTGGTGCTCCTACTGGAAGCCGACCCCTGACCATCCTCCTGTGTCGTGACCGTCGAAAGGGGCGGGGTGCTGGTCACCGCACCAGGTGCTTGATCAGCCGGCGGTTCAATGTAGAACTCGAGGGTGGTCTGACACCCCTTCCTTGATCTCTTGTTCATGGGACCCGACGATGGGGTATCCCTCCTCTTCCTCTCTGAAGGACGGATGTACCTAGTTGGGAGGATGAGCTTCGCCATCGTCTTCGGGAATTTTTGCAGCAAGACAGCCGGGTCATCAAGGATCGTCTGTGGGGTCCTCGATGGGTCAATCGCGACATTGTGTGCCATCTTCACCATGATCTCCCTTATGTGAAAGAACACAACCGATGTCAGTACCGGAGCGCGCCAAGCTGATCTTGCCATGACCCTGAAGGCGCGGATGCGAGCCCTGAGAGACGGAGCTTCCGAGAACAGGTAGTGGAGATCAGACAAAAGATACCAGAAGATGTGGTCAAACCAAGTGATATTCTTACCGCAGTCCCCTTTCTGCAACTCGATGCATCGACACTTAACATACGGTCTACCTACATTCCAAATCCATTTGAGCTCCGCCATTGCAGTCTGGACTCTGGGGCCCATGAAACCCCTAATAGACAGTGCAGAGTTCGTGACAACGCACTTGGAGGGGTCAAATTCCCCCACCACAGGGAGTTTCATGTTGTCCGCAGTGAGGGGATAGTCACCCGAACAGAGGTCGGTGTTCTCCGTCAATGCCTTTTCGTTGCACTTCTTCATTTCGTCATCAGAAAGGGAGGCAAGGAAGCGATAGGAATCAGCATGGATAGGCGCGACATAGTTGAACGTGAGCAAATCCCAAAGTTTATCCTGGACCCCCCTAGACTGAGACTCTACCCATCTTGGTGGCACTGTGGGCAGGAACGCGTTCCGAGCATATTTATTCACCTCCACCCTTTGGTTGTCAGCCATCACCTTCAATTTCTCCCTCCTACCCTCAGCTAGCATTTTTTCATGGAAGCGCTTCTCCTCCTCTGTGAGGGGGAGGGAGTCCTCCTCCTCCTTCTCGGAGTCTCCATTCGTCACCTCAACCAGGTCCCTCTGTACGAGACTAGCGTGGAAGTTCGACTCCGCCCCCCAAAGCTGTACGAGGACTTTCTCTTTCATGGCAAGATTGTTAGAGATGCTCAAACCTACCAGCTCATCCTCCTCTACCAAATTACGAGCCTGTGTTACCAAAAAATTGGTGAGGTTGAGAAATGCAGGCTTATCATGCGTAGCCATCCAGAGTAGATCAGCCCACTGGTCAAACGATATAATGGAGATGAGGGGAGGGGTCACTCCAACAGAATGTGTGCGGACAAAATCAAGAACCTTCGGGGGGGCAAGGGAAATCAACGCCTGTGCAGGCCGTGATGGTGCGGGGAAGGAATCAAGCCAACCGGAATCCCCTGTCAGCAGGTCCGTATACCACCCATTGTCCGAGAAAATCGAAACCTGTCACAAGACAAGCAATATAGCGTCAAAGGTGTGTAGGGAATCCATACAACAGTACGTACAAACCGAATGAATTCTGCAACAAGATTTTCCATACATGGTTTATCAAATTATCTCGAACCGAAAATCCACCCAATCAAGCGTCGGACAGCATGCAGGGGACAACAACATCACGACAGGGGGTCTGACCCCATCGATAGTAGGAAGAGCTGAAACTCTGCGTGTGTTTACGGAATACGATACTCCCGTAGCCGTGCTGCGGCATGTTGCGTCATAACACATGCTACATAAAACAACACTCAATTTTGGGCAGCATAAAGGTCAGGAAACAAACCATAAAAACAGACCTTGCTACTTCACACAATCGTACGCACACACCGTATCACAATTGGATTGAGCAACAAAATTCCATACATGGTTTCCTCTGAACCGAAAATCCATCCAATCAAGCGTCGGACAACATGCAGGGGGCAACAACATGATGACAGGGGGTCTGACCCCATCAATAGTAGGAAGAGCCGAAACCTTGCGTATGTTTAAGGAATACGCTACTTCCGCAGCCGTGCCACGGCATGTTGCGTTATAGCACATGCTCCATAAAACAACACTCAATATTGGGCAGCATCAATGATTAGAAAACAGACCATAAAAACAGACATTGTTACACCTCACAAACCATCGACTATTGAGAAAAATATTTCATCCCAACACAGAGAACCTGCATTATTAGTATGGAAAGCGTGATCATTCGTCAAAAAAAAAAAAAAAAAAAAAACACTCCAAAGCCCCATTGGTGTAGCCGAATCCACGTAGGTCATAGTAGTGCTTCAACCCTCCCCATCGTCGCGTGCTGGATTCTCTCAGCAACATACACTGTCGAAACAGGCTATCTGGCCAGGATCCCGGTCCTTGAGCCGTATGAGCGCTCGAGACTATAACTGCAAGCCAATATCTGAGTGCCACCCCGAACCAACAGAAAATCCCCGCACAATGAAAAACACAGGCAACGGGCAAGAAACAATGTCTGTAATATAGTGAGCAACCCCCAAAGTCTACCTAAAATAGCACCCAGCTACCCCTCCCGGGTCATCCCCCCGACGTTCGATCCACAATCCCTACGCACTACTCGGCTGGGTGAAAAAACTCGGGGCTCCTCCTTACAAATACTCTCTCATAAGCAATTCTCCCAGTCGCCATACATCGTTGTAGCAGTCCCCTTGGGCAGAACCCAGGGTTACCGAGTTACGTGAGCGCAGAGCTACAGTTGTGTGACAAACTTCAAGTTCCCTTCAGAGCACACAGCAGGAATTCTTCAAAACGCAGGCGTCAAGCAAATCACAAACAGTACCGAGGTCTTCATCAGCGAATGTCACGTTGCCCCTTCCGGTAATCAGCGCATCCGAGTCCTCATTTCCGATCTATACAGCCCCTCCCACTCCTCCCTACTCCTCCTTTCACCCCCTACTCCTCCTTTCACCCCCCTCTTCGTCCTCCGGTGTATATCCCCTACACGTCACTCGGTTAGGCAGAATCAGGGCTCCTTCCCCTTGTCCAAGGTGGCTATCAACGGTGTGTCCACGTGGGGCATACCCACCTTCCTTCATAGTAGACGAGAATTGGACCCCGTGCAATATAAGAGAGAGTTACTAACCAATCAGAACCAACGAAACCCACCGCCACCTGCACCAATCAAATGCGTAGCAGGAGCTTCTCAATCAGAAGAGTAGCGCTAGGGGTCATCATCCCCAATCCCTCCGTATATACATCATCATCGACGGTAAACTCCCACCAGGGACGTAGTACAGTGATCCGGCGTGGGTAACGTTTCCTTCGACTTCAAAATCCATTATTACTCCGATGACCATCCTTGGTTCGACCTCCAGCAGTCCAAAAAAAAGCAAAACATGCAACCCAAACACCTACCACTTCCATATAGAAGAAAGCACGAACCATGGTTAGCCCCCCAAGGCCTGCATCAACAAAAATTGGCTGGCATGTCCGCTGTAGTCCCCACCCGAGATGAAACAGGAAATCACGAACGTCCCGTGACTCATGTAGGGGGAAGCCAATAGTGTACATTCCTTAAAAAACGAAGGTCCCATCGGCCAGTCAACCGGCTGGTTGTGAAGTCCGGAATAACGCGCCCCACCTCCCATGTCAGAAACAAATGCACGAGACGTCATCACCCTATCCCTTAGTGCAGAACAGAGGTCAACCCTTAATCATATGCAGATGCACCCACAACCCAGACCGAAGCACATATGAGAAGTTCCCGCAGGGTAACAGATGCCATACCTCCGATGCCCCTGGCTTGACCCTCCGCAAGTGGAAACACCCAGAGCTACTCATCAGGTATCAACCCAAGGTGATAGTGAGAGGACGGTTGTCGGTCGTAGGCCTAGTCATACCAATAGACCGACGGGCGTGGCGGATGAGGCCAAAGAGCAGACGCCACCCACACAAGGAAAAGAAGGTTGTATGCTACGATCCACCCGGTCATCATTACCATACCAACCGACCAAGGCACGAGTGGCTCCAGAGGCATCACCCAACATACATCAGGAGGCCGTGAGTGTGCAGTCCATACCAACCAGGCAAGGAGGGATGTGGGGAGGATGGACAGAAGGGATGGGCCAAGGGAGAAGAGAAGGAGGATACATGGAAGAGGGATTCGAGACAAGAGTATGGCCATGACATCCATCCCCCCGCTCCCCTATAATCACAAGGGTAACAAAGCCACCCCTACTAACCGCACAATACGCCCGCAGTAAGTTGTATCCTCTCGAGTCGAAACAGCCCGTATCCAAGTCTCCAGACCCAGTCCTCAACACACCCTACACCTCTTCTGGATAGCAGAAGATACATCCCTGCAAACATCAGACTGTGGGAGCGAACGGATCGCTTGTAGATCAAGAAATGACAGGAACACGAGATATGCCATAAAAGCAATCAAAAAGATCACGGCCATATGGACAAAAGCGAGCAGCTCCATGATGGATCCAATCGACGAAGCTTCGAGAAGCAACTTCAAAATTCCAACGGTGAAGCATATAGAAGAGCCTACGAACACAGCCATCCATCAACGAAAAAACAAGAATGCAGAGCAACGATGCATACCGTTAAATCCATTCATGACGTAGTAATCAAGAGGTACATGCAATTCGGGGAGGGAAAACAAGATGAGGTGGGTGGAAGAAGAAGGGGTTAAAGTCCCAGTTCAGTCAAGCGGCTCAAAAAATGCCGACACATGGAAAGGGGGTGATGGAACGCGCCCTTAAGTACTTTTCACCGGCCTCCATCCAGCCGGATCTTCAGAGAACATAGCCACTTCCATAGTGTACCGAAAGGGACATAGATCCATACGGGTATAGCCGGGATCTCGAGAGGCACGCACAGGTGTGACAGTAAGGAAGGAACGGGGTGATTCGTCAATACACAAAGGCGGAAGGAGGGGGATGGGGATGGGTGGTGGGTTCAAGAGTAAAGCGGGCGTATTACCACTCCCGGCGCCATGCTCTATCCGATGCAACGATGATGTCGGGGTCACGGCCGTCTGTAGTCCTTGACGTCAGCAAGAAAAAAAACTGTCCGGTCTGATCGAGAGTGTCACGCAGCCCTCCCACCAGGTAGATGACGTGTCACTAGCGCCAATGTCATACACTCGGACCAACGGTATCAGCAATGGTGAGAGCAAGCTTCGTACGGAGGGGAGGTGCTAGGCGCAGCATACAGGGCAAGCAGCAAGCCAGGCCCCCGTACTCGTTGCCCCTGCTGCAGAGCGCACAGGGTCTTCAACCCAGCAAAAGTCGAACCGTTGTGCTTGCTGCGACGTAGAAAAGCTCAGGCAGGCGGCATATGGCGATGGCAAGTGGCTCCGTTCGTTTGCGAAGAAGGCTCAAGGCGTGAACACACGAGGCAAGCAGCAAAACAGGCGCGCGTCTCCGACGTTTGCATCAGCGCAGCGTACCGAGTCGTCATCAACGTGAGCTCGGATGGGGCGCACCAAGCTGCTCCGAAGCGAAGCGAAACAGTCGAGCAAGCAGGCGGTGCGAAGGTCGGAGCCGGAGCAAAGTGAGAAGCAGAGGGAGGCGTCCCGTGGGCGGGCCACCCACACCCGTAGCCTGTGCCTCAAGAGTACCAGGAGCACCCCTGGGCATAGTCAGACAAGAGTGAGCAGCACGCTCCAAGGGCGTCGGAGTTGGAGAGGGGGGGAGCTGCTATTCATTACTGCTATATACTCCTCCGGAAGATGCGTGGGCAGGAAAAGCGAAAAATACCATGCCGCTTGATCCCGCTCCTGCAGGTCAGGTTTTGAACTAGGCAGGGACTTCTTTTCGTGGCCACCGGGCTACCCAAGGGGTCCAAGCAAAAAATGACCGGTTTAAGCAGAAAGCAGGGGAGGGTCCTTATTTTTCCACAAGCTGGTACTGGGCCCCATGCTACGCCCCACACTATTTATCATGCGTCCTCCATGGCACCCAGGGTCCCATTTCCAGGGTGGCCTTCGTTTCGGAAGGGACAGTCCAGTGGTACCGTATTCTAGTTTCCAAAAAGGGCATTCCACGGGTGGATCCCATTTAAGCAAAAATGTGGGTACACAGGTACCTAGCATCAAGCATCAGCAGTTCACTGCAATACCGCAGCTCCCCCTGTGTTTCCCCAGGGGCCCGTGCAAGAGTGTGTGTGTGTGTGTATGTGTGTGTGTGTGTGTGTCACAGTGTGTGTGTGACCCACCCCTTCCCCGCTAGAGGCCAGCTTGCTAAGGCAGGTAACAGGTACCTGCCTCAGGCAAGGTACCTGATAGCCGCCTCAGTATCCCTGCTGGTAGGGGGATGACTGAGAACACACAGACATCACAACACAACACCTCCTTTCTCACCAGGGTCCTACCAAGGTCACACCCCAAGAAAAAGCCAGAGCTCAAGACACTCACCTTGAACTCCCGATCCGTCTCTAAATTCTGCGGATGGGGGACTCTATTCGCACACATTACACACCTTTGGAGGGGAAACCCATTCTTCACCATGTAGATAATGACTCTCAGGATTTCTTCCACAGCCGTGCGTGGCTCACAACAGATGACCAGGATCGAGGCTACCCGTGCCAATATGATATTCAGCGATTGCTGAATGGGTCTGTTGGATGCGTACTTCACGTACCTAACTACCGGAAAGTCTAGGGACAAACGTTTGTCATACTTCAAGGTGCTGAACGATCCCAGGCCATCCGGTGAAACGATGATTTCCGAATCCAGAAACTCAGTTTTGAGGCCATATACCTCGCCAGACTGGGTTACCTCGCAAATCTCGGTCTGGTTCTTGATTTCGATCAAATGGCGCAGGTATAAGGTGAACATTCCAGGGTCCTCAACCGGAGGGGGGTCCTGCAGGAATTTCAAAATCAATGTATTGTTAACGAAAGGCATGATCACCGCTCCCAGCAGTGCTAGCTTTTTTTTCCCAGGGAGGTCGGGTCAGCCTGAGGTAACACAAACAGAATAGTTCCGCAAAAACGAACTGCTGCAATGGATCAAGACGGAAAAAGGCAGCAGGGGGAGGAGTCCATGGCGGCGAAGGACAGGAGACTTGGCCGTCCGGGTTTCGTTGCACAGGTCGTTGGTTCGAGGTCCTGAAGCCTCGGCGTCAGACTCATATAGTCCGCGTGGAAGTTCCCGAGAGGGCGAAGCGGCGGGAGAACCCGTCGGCACCCGAATTCGAAATTGTGCGGGTAGCGCTCCCACGTTACGGGAGAGCGTGGGAAAACGTGCCGCTCCCTCGTAACCCAGGACCAATCGTAGCCAGGAACAAGAGTCTCCCTGGCGACACCAGCGACAATCAAACTGCGGCTGCCACGTGGCGTGGGCGGCCGACCACGACAACACCATCAATTCAGTGTAAGGGAATATCAAAGTCGGGGAATCAAAGCGATCAATCAAGGCAAACCCATTTCCCCTTATATTACACGCCCGGGGCGGGTCTCGCCAACAAACTTGCTCCGTTCGTCTCAACGCGCGCCGTATATCCGCATCGCAGTAGACGCTGTCGTCGTCTTCGATGGGAAAGGCCGGCAGCGAGATGGGGCGAGCGGAGGTAGGTGATGAACACGGGCAAGACCCCGCGCTCCCGGTCATCCGAACCAACACCGACTCCATACAACACTCAGTGTAACCCTTCTCTCTCAGGTTTGGTGCACAGGAAAGAGCTGGCAAAATTTAAGTTCTCTTACCCTTAGCGGGGGCGTCGACCGTGCGCACGGACGCAGGCGGTTGAAGTCACCGGTGCGGGGACGAGACTTTCCGAAAGCGACGACAATTGATTCCAAAAGAGAGAGAGAGAGAGAGAGAGAGAGAGAGAGAGAGAGAGAGAGAGAGAGAGNGGGACGAGACTTTCCGAAAGCGACGACAATTGATAGAAAGAGAGAGAGAGAGAGAGAGAGAGAGAGAGAGAGAGAGAGAGAGAGAGAGAGAGAGAGAGAGAGAGAGAGAGAGAGAAAGAGAGAGAGAGATTACACAGAGATTGCGTGGCCGCGCAGGAAGGGCCGCGGAAGGGAGGGGGACAACGGGATCAACACACTCATACTCCTAAGCAGACGATTATCCAGTTCAATTCTTCCATCCCCGCCCGGATACACACATACACGCATACTCTCATGCATGCAATCACGATACTCAATCAGGACATCCAATCATCCACAGACTTTCGACATCACTGGTGCGCACGACAAGCTCCCACCACTCGGGGCCTCACACACACATCATGCGTAGACAAAGCAGCAATGGAGATAAAAGCGAGTCCTTCTTGTATACAAAAATTTCCAACTGACTGCCGCCGCCAGGCGCAGCCTTCAAAACTTCCCAAGACCACCAACCACCATAGCCACAAGGCCCTGCCGCGGCCGGCGTCTAACCTCCACCACTGCTAAGTCCCTCCGACTACTCCGTGCCGAGTCTACCGCGGGCCCACCCCACGTCGTCACTCCGCCCGTCCTTGGGCTCGTCGAGCCTGTTCGGCGCCGCGGACTTCGCGCATAGCTCGCGCAGCATTGCAGCCGAGATCAAAGAGAAGGAGAGGAGAGGGTTGCGTGAATTTATAGCGCGGGAGGCGGCGGGTTGTCAGCGCAAGGTGCGGGCGGCGCAGGGTGTAGATGAGCAGGACAGAAGAAAGGTGGGGAGTCCAGAGGGTTCGACCCGCGGGGTTGCATGGTCCTACGTGATTGGGGTGTCCGTTCAAGTGGTGCGCGACTTCCCGCTCTCCACATTGATCCGAGCATCCCAACCACGCAGCCAATCACTCGCGGAAGAAGGCGGGGTAAGGATCGAGCTTTGTGTGATGGAAGACGAAGGGTCGGGCATGGGGGAAGCGCGCACAGCAAGAAAGGGAGATGGCGCACGGGCGCAAAGCAAGAAACAGGAATACGAGGCGCTCGGGGAAATCGAAGCCCAGCCGCGCGCACAAAATTCAAATTCCCGAAAGGCCTGACCGAAACCGTTTCTTGGTTCGGCCGCTGTTCAGCCGCGCGGGAATCATTAGCCTTGAAAAAAAAAGATGAAAAGCCGCTCGAGGAAAGAAAGACGAAGGAAACGAAAGCAACAAAGAAAGGAAACCCCCCTTCTCTCTCAGGTTTGTACTATGGGGCTTTTGGAGGATTTTTCCTCAAGGATACGGAAAGCCTTGCAGTACGGATCTGAGCTTATCACATGCTAGCTTTTTCAGTCCCGGACTCATCGCCCGGTCATTATATCCGTATCTGGTCTTATAGTTGCACGAAGTACAGGTGTAGTGACCCAGTGGGTGTTCTGTTGGGGTGTGGAAGGCATAGCTCTTTCTGTCCCACCGTTTCACTCTTGTTCAAAAAACTTCGAATGTCCTTCGGGACATCCGTTAAAATTGGAACGATACAGAGGAGGAAGATTAGCATGGGCCCTGCAAAAGGATGACACGCATAAATTGAGAAATGGTCCAAATTTCTCTGCGTAGCACACCGAACGTGTTCGGAAGTTTTCCGAACGTCCGAACGTGTTCGCCCGATCAGAAGGCGAACACGTTCGCACGAACGCCTTTCCGAGGCCGGCGAACGCGTTCGCCCAGCGGGCGATACCGGGCCAGGGAAGGGTCTGGGGGGCAGGTGGGGGCCCTAGGGGCGGGGTTGGGCAGGCGGCCTGGCGGGAGGGGGCGGCCAGGGCCCGTGTTCGAATTCGAACCGGCCTGGACAAGCAAATTGACCGCTCCAGCCCGCGCAGCCGTCGTCATCGTCGACGTGGATGGAGCCTTGCAGGGAGCACGACATCGCCCAGGTAGGTGTCCAGCCCCCTCCTCCTCCTCCTCTTCCATCCCCTCCTCCTCCTCCTCCTCCTCCTTCTCCTCCTGTTCTTCGTCTTCATCTTCGTCCTCTGACTCGTCGTCCGCCATATCCTCCCCCTTCTACTCCCCCTACACCTCGTCCTCCTCTTTTTCTTCCTCCTCCTCCCCCTCGTTTGACGTGCGGCTGCCACGTCAGCACGCGCGCCTTTTTTTTTCCTTTCCTTCTTTTTCCTCCACTCCATCTTGAAGTTATTCTCCTTTTTCCTCCTCCCCCACCTCCTCCTCCTCTTCGTCATCTACTTCTTCCTCCTCGTCTTCCTCCTCCTCCACGTTATCCTCCTCCTCCTCCTCTTCATCCTCCCCCTTCTCCTCCTTGTCTTCCTCCTCCTTCTCTTACCAACGCGCGGCTGCCATGTCAGCACGCGCCGGATTGCTTTTTTTTTTTTTCCCTTCAAACTTCTTCTTCTTCTTCTTCCTCCTCCTCCTCCTCCTCCTCCTCCTCATCTTCTTCCTCCTCCAGCTTCTCTTCCTCCTCGTCTTCTACCTCCTCCTCCACCTCATCGACCTCCTCCTCCTCCTCGTCCTCCTCCTCCTCCTCCTCGTCCTCCTCCTCCTCGACCTTTTCTTCTTCTTCCTCCTCCCTCACCATATCCACGTCCTTCTCCTCGCCCTCCTCCCTTTCCTTGTCTTCTTCTTCCTCAGAGTCCCCCTCCACCTCCTCCTCCTCCTCCTAAGACGAACGCGCGGCTGCCACGTCAGCACGCGCAACTTTTTTGTTTTTTTGGTACAAAAGCCGCACGTGCAGACGTGGCAGCCGTGCATTCTTCTTAGGAGGAGGAGGACGAGGTGGAGGGGGACAACATGGAGGCTCTGGAGGGGGAGGAGGAAGACGACGAGGAGGATGTACATATGGCGGAGGAGGACGAAAAAGAAGAGAGGAGGAGGAGGAGGAGGAAAAAGAAGACTAGGAGCTCAAGAGCGGGAGGAAGGCAAGGAGGAGGACTTTAATGATAAGTTCGATATGGCGGAGGAGGAAGGAGAAGATTCTTCCTCTTCTTCCTCCTCGTCCCCCTCCTCCATCTCCTCCTCGTCTTCTTCCTCCTCCACCTCGTCGATCCTCACCTCCTCCTCCTCGTCTTCTTCCTCCTCCTCCACCATATCGAAGTCCTCCTCCTCACCTTCCTCCCCCTTGTCGTCCTCTTCTTCCTCCACCTCCGCCTCGTCGACCTCCTCCTCGTCCTCCTCCCCTTCCTCTTCTTCTTCTTCCTCCTTTCTCCACCTTTCTCCTCCTTTCTCCTCCTCCTCCTCCTCCTCCTCCTATATATATAAAAAAATAATAATAATAAAAAAACATGTTCGCGTTCGGTCAATTTTCAGACACGTTCGCGTTCGGTCATTTACGTTCGCGTTCGCCGACCGAACGCGAACGGTATGCTACGCAGAAATTTCTTTCAAAAAAAAAAAAAAAAAAACTACTTCGAATTTGGACTGTAAAAAAATAAAAAAAATAAAAAACTTCGAATGCAAAAAGACTTTATCTGGCCGGCAAGATGGCCTGCATGCATTCATGACGCGTTTGCGCTGAGTTCGGGTGAAGACGGCCGTCTTGTTCGATGACACCGTGATTGCGACAAGACTGTATCGAGCCGGAAAGATCGCTTGTATTCATTGACGCTGCAGGTGGGTTGTGTTCCATGGAAGACGGCGGTGAACGTGTTGTTCGACATGCCAACTCACTCAGGGCATACTCACACGAGGACCTTTTTACTTATTTCTGGACGGAAATGCGGCCAGATACAAATAGGTTAGGCCGTAATTACGGTCAGATACATTCAGAAGAGTGGCAGTGTGAGTATGCCCTCCGACACGCGTAATGGCCCCCCC